ATTTTTGAAAGCCCCTTGTCTGGAGACTTGGGCAAAATGGGGCCAAAGAAAATAGAGATGCAGTAAAGAATTATTTTAAGTTGTCTTCTTCAGGAAAACATGACGCTCTATGGCAGCTCCTTTATCATTCCATACTAATTAGTAAAATATGATTTCTACCTAGTTATGAAATACATAGTAACTATATTATGCTAAGTATTTATTGAATATCATATATTTATTTTCATAACCTTTTGAAGTGGCATTTGAACGATTCTCACCACTGTCCTTCTCCCATTCATTTCTTCCTTCTCCCTCTCCTCAACTATTTATGCAATTCTGGTTATACGCTTTGAAAAGTTATTTTTGTATGGTCGATAATCATTAATCATAATACAGTGTACAATTCGGCATTTATGTGTGAAAGAAAGGCTAGGAAACCACACAGCACATGAAGGCACGTGAGATTCAGTATGGTTTCTTATCTGCGGCCTGTTGGGATCTGAAAATTATATTTTCTTGAATCTGTAGACCCCCTTCGCACAAAATGAGGTAAAGTTACAAAGTTCTGAGCTGGAAGAAAAATCCAGTGCTACTTTGTCTTTCCATTCCCCTACCCTTTCCCCCACACAGAGGGGGAGGGGACACAGCGATTTGCTTGCTAACTTCCACAAAATCAGATCTTTCCCCTTTGAAAATTCTTGTTGTTTCAGTCGGTTGAGTCTTTTAGAAATAATATCTTCCCCAACTCGAAGCAAGGTATTCTTCAGCTTCTTAAGTAAAAAGAGGAAAGGCACGATCACCTGCTTTTCCAAATCAAGAGAAAGAGAATGCGAAAGACAGAGAAATTCTTGATCTCTGTACTTACCACTTGTTGCTGGTGGTGCGTGTGGTGCCCGAACCCTAGTTATGTAACCAAAGATTAGAATTTAGTGGTATCCTTAACTTTTGCGTTTCTGTTGGATCCTTGAGATTTTGAATAAATTATTATAATCACTAGTGGCTTTAATTCCCAGTTATCCCGCTTTTTATCTTAATTCCGGGTATTTCCATGTGCAGAGATTAAAAAAAACAGCATGCTAATCCCATCTTGCCAAGCTGTACAGGAATTATTCTCCAAGGACAGACAAGACTTGCAAGGAAATATACACCGATGAAGATTAACAGCGCTATATAGTAGAATTAACCTCTCAACAATGCTAAGGATTACCTATACTTCCACCAAGATCTTGAACTTTTGCAGTGTACAAGCTTTCCAGACTTTCACGTAAAACAGCGTTCTACTTTGGAAATTCTGAAGTAGTGATGCACCAGAAAAAATACGTTCTTATACTAGCAATGACGGGGTCTGAATGGCCGGGAGAAAAAGTTTCGAGGTCATTCTGTATTTCAGAATAAGTAAATACGAAGAGGCTTTGGAAACAGTTTTTTTCAAAATCTTTCTTTAATGTGCTTTGTTTTTTTCTGTCCTTTCATCAAAAACAATGAAGTATATTAACATTCAACAAAATCTGGTGATTCCATGTAACATCTTTGCGTCAATGGTGTTACTTGTGATGTTTACTGTCTTTATATATTAATTTTAGATCATGGAAACTAACAGGAGAGACGATCGTACGAAGACCAAATATATCAGGGGGACTACATAGTGAATATATTTGCGTAATGAAAATTACGCAAATATCACGGGAAATGAGCGACTTCTAGGGAGCTCCACGACTTAGGATCTTGACCCTTCGCAGTGAACAGGCTTTCCACATTTAAGCAAAATATTGTAGTTACAGTGAACAATCTGGATGACCGTGTAGAAATGCAACAGAAAAATACCTGTACTAATAATGATAAGGAAAATAAAAAATCGGCGTCATGAAAGCCTGCGGTACTATATGAATGGCCTGTTATTGAGCCATCCCGCAGCAGGTAATCCGCCAAAGCAAGAAAACCTCCACAGCGTATATTCTGGCAAAACAGAGCTTGCATCGTCATCCGATTTGACCACAGTTTTCCAGACAGATCAGCAAGCTCTATCGTAGCAAAATATACGGAAAGGCGCGGAGCTCAGCGCAGATTCTCGCCGGCAACATCGTCACCAATAGAGGTTTCCCCAGGGGACTACTGTATCAGAACAGTTTCCATTAACTTCATTAGCTACAAACCACCGACGCAGCTTCTACATCGAACTACCCAAGACCAAAACAAACATTTACGTCCGCCAAATCCAATAGGCCTCTAATCAACAGTCAATAATCTCGGCAGTTAATCCCCCAATCACATCACCTTTCCTCCGGTTTATTGACCATCATGGAGAGCCTTGCTGCCGTTTCCCGTTCCTCTCCTCTGACTGGCCCGGCTGCATACATGATTCTCTTCGCTTAATTTCCGATTAAGCTACTGTGAAATCGAAATATATATTTTCATTCTATGTAGGCCAGTTATCTATAAGTGTTTATAGATGCCATTTCTCTGTTTCTGACTTTCTCCAATTATCGCTGTGTTTTATTTAGTTCCTCGTACCTTCTTT